CAATAACACTAACAATTCAAAATCATGAATGTTGTCATATAATGTTCCATATGCAACTTCATAAAAGTTAGCGTATAGAAAATTATTAACACGATCGTGAGACCAGTGCTTTACAAAAAATAAACATGTGAGCAGAGATAAATCGCATATACAGGGTGCACGATTTATCTGAAGACATTGAAATATCTCGAGAACTATGCATTGGATAAAAAAAAGTGGTTAGTGAAAGTTGTTAATCTCGAAGGGGGACATCCAATGATACCAAACTCGACCTCCGACCCCACCCCCTGGGGGTGAGGGTTGGGGGCAACTTTGAAATCTTAAATCGAAACTCCCATTTTTTATTGCAGATACGGATTCTATGCCACAAAATACGTAAATTTTGTTCGAAACTTTTGTTTTTATTCGTGATAGATGGCGCTGTAATCGCAAAAAATTATATTTTCCGCAATTCTCCAGAAATGATCATTGGATTGAGAAATAAAAAATACCTGTTCAATATTTTTAAAGAACATAATAAAAGTTATTCCCCCCCATCCTCTCGGGGTAGGGTGGGTGATAACGTTCAAATCTCAAATGGGAATCCGAATCGAAGAGGGAACTGCTCGACGCGCCGCTGTGGGTGTATGGCGAACTACGGCTTATTATAAAAGGCAGTGCAATGCGGTCAGAGCTGACTTTTCTTTCAGAATTAGAACTGAAAGCATCTCTAACAATTTCATTTTACTTGACTAGTTTTTATTACCTGCATATCTACCCTTCATTCTTTGAACAGAATTGCAAGTGGAAAATGGATTCTGCAACCGTAGAAGAAAAAATTGAAATGATTCTGATTTATGGTGAATATAGGAGGAATGTTGACGATGCTGTTGCCTTGTATGCTGAGCGTTTTCCAAACAATGAACTCATGTTCATTTTTTACAAAGTTGTGACTGCCTTTATCTCGGATGGCAGCGTACAAACTAAAAAAAGAAAACGAAGAACAACTGTTACAGGAGAAGTTAATGAAATAGCTGTGCTAGCAGCTGTTCACCACAACCCACAGGTAAGCACTCGGCAATTACATCGCGATTTCGGAATTTCCGGAGATAGTATTCGTAGAATATTGCATCGTCATAAGTATCACCCATATCACATTTCACTGCATCAAGAACTTCATGGCGATGATTTTCATAATCGAGTGGTGTTTTGTGAATGGGCACTTCAACAAATGCAAACGAACCCCAATTTCATTGCTAATGTACTATTTTCAGATGAGTCTATATTCACAAACCATGGTGGCGTTAATCGACATAACATGCATTACTGGAGTGTAGAAAATCCCCACTGGTTACGACAAGTTGAACATCAACGTCCTTGGTCGGTTAACGTTTGGTGTGGAATCATAGGGAACAGACTCATTGGTCCTTATTTTATTGAAGGTAATTTGAATGGAATCAAATATCGAAATTTCCTGGAACGGGAACTACTACCACTACTTGATGATGTTGCCTTGGACGTTCGACAAAATATGTGGTTTCAGCATGACGGTTGCCCAGCGCATAACTCAATAGCAGCACGGGAAGTATTAGACCGTGATTACAATGGTCGGTGGATTGGCAGAGGTGGCCCGATTAATTGGCCTGCTAGATCGCCTGATTTGACATCGCCAGGTTTCTTTCTGTGGGGTTACCTAAAAGATAAGGTTTATCAACAAGTGCCAACAACTCGTGAAAACATGGTAGAACGCATAAGAAACGCTTGCGCTGAAACTCTCGCAGATATGCTTCTATCCTGTATACAGTCATTTGAAAAAAAGATCAATAAGTGTATTGAAGTTGAAGGTAAAAATTTCGAACACTTACTCTAATTAATTGAACAGTGAGAGGCAAGGGGACTCACATTAAAAAAGCACCCCGATCTGTGAGAGGCAAGGGGACTCACATTAAAAAGTACCCGAAGGGAACATAAAACTACTACGTCCTCATCGTTGTTCCTGTGTAACGCTAAAAGTAGTTTCTCGGAAAAATTCAACGCTATCTATCACGAATAAAAAAAATTGTTTCAATAAAAATTTCACGTACAATCTAATTCTGCAATGAAAAATGTGGGTCCCCATTTGAGATTTGAACATTATCACCCACCCTACCCCAAGAGGATGGGGGGGAATAACTTTTATTATGTTCTTTAAAAATATTGAACAGGTATTTTTTATTTCTCAATCCAATGATCATTTCTGGAGAATTGCGAAAAATATAATTTTTTGCGATTACAGCGCCATCTATCACGAATCAAAAAAAAAGTTTCGAACAAAATTTACGTATTTTGTGGCGTAGAATCCATATCTGCAATAAGAAATGGGAGTTTCCATTTAAGATTTCAAAGTTGCCCCCACCCCCAGGGGGTGGGGTGGGAGGTCGAGTTTGGTATCATTGGATGTCCCCCTTCGAGACTAACAACTTTCATTAACCACTTTTTTTATCCAATGCATAGTTCTCGAGATATTTCAATGTCTTCAGATAAATCGTGCATCCTGTATAACAACGTAGCAAATGCGTGTGGGACACGCTATTTATACAGAAATTTCAAATGTATATTTTCTGAATTATCTATTCATCATCAAAATACTCGATAGATTACAATGTACCATCCTGTTTACAAATAGAGTTCTCGAGATATATTTTAAATCTTTCTGCCGTCTGGTACTCGTCACTCGTCCTTGATTTTTGAACGTGGACGCACACCGATAATAGTCAATGTTTATTATATCTCTTATCGTACGCCAATAATGGTTATTGTTTATTATTGAACCACGTGTTCGATTTCATTGTGACTACCGCGCTCTCAATATTTTTCTCTCTTCGGAACAAAAATAAGATGTAGGTCCCGAACGCACGGCGCCCCGTCGCCACCTAGTACGCCCTCCTTCTTTCATGGTTGATTCAGTTGATGAACGATTACTTTGTTGAAGTTGTTTTTCTTGGCGAATCTGCGTTGCTCCTTATTTTTGTTTAACTTACAGGTGAATCACGTTTGTTATCGAGGCCATTGAGCGTAGGGTTTTGACTTTTCACACATAATACTTGCAAATAGCGGGGCTTCGGCGTTTACTGTTGGTGAGTAACGTTTATCTAGTCATGAAAACACTCAACTTTCGTTGACCGGATTCGCTGATGGAATATTTTATAAATCCTTCATTGTTACAAATAAGGACTCTACACAGACAAGTTCCGAATAATACAAACTTACATATATGCACGATACAATTATAAAATATGTTATCTCCGCGATTCCCGAATGAACTATCATACAAATGTCACGAATTATAATTTTTATATTTTACTATTAAAAAAAGTCGAAAAATTACGACTGGAACATACGTATGGATATTTATAGATTTTAACTATGATTATTAAAAGTAAATAATTGACGCACGATTAACAGCGTACTAGCTCAATTGTCTTTTTATTCTCGTTTGTTTCCTGAATCACATATTTGTGAAATTTATGTTTATACTGCAATTTTACAGAAAAGTGAAAGTGAATAAAATGGGCAAGCACGTTATGCATGAGTGCATTGAATATCTTGATAATATAACACAAAATTAAAAAAGTATTAACTAGATATATTAATATGTTTATTATAAAACATTATTATGTATGTGTGTGAATGAATTTTATATTATTGCTTAAATGTTATCAAATATGATTTCACTTATTTAGCGCATAATATAATTTAATAATATATTATAAAATTTAAGATTGACAATTATATATATAATTAGAGTCCTGTAAAATTTTAATGCCAATTGTAAAGCGCGTATAACTAACTAAAAAATGTTTTATATAATATTAATAAAAATTATTGAATCAATACGTATGAAAACGTATTCGGTCATTAATTTGACAGAAATAAATTGCTAACAAAAAAATTATCCCCTAAAATTTGAAACGCCAAACTTCAGGCTTTCAGCTGGCTGGCGTCCAACTTTCAGCTTTCAGCTGGGTAGCGTCCAGCTTTCAGCTGGGTAGCGTCCAGCTTTTATATTTTGTATTCATTATATAAAATATATATAATATATTAAAAAAATATATTATTCATTATATAAAATAAAACAAACATACGATCAGAAATAATATAACTTAATGTTTTAAGAACATAATGGTATAATCTCATTATGCCCAGACATGTGTAAGTTTGGATTATGTAATATAAAACGTTAGAGATAATCGGTGTTTGTACAGGAATTTGACTAAAATGACGAGAAAAGATGGTTTAATAACGTTAATGTTCATACGAAAACGAAAAAAGAATTTTGTCATAGTTTAACTTGTGTAAATATACGTAGCAAATTGTAATAGAGATGCGGAGAACGTAGCAAACACATTAAACAATTTGTAGCATCTTTCAACTAAAAATAATATGACAATTAATAATGGTATGTGATAAGAGACATTTAACAGTAATAATGGCAAAACGTTTTATTGCATAACAGCATCTCCGTAAAAAATTTTCGACCATACTCCATTATGACCCGTGGTCTCATTATATCCCAAGTTCCCTTATCATTCGGGAAATTGTTTAAATATAATTAAATAAAATAATATTTAATTTGACATAATTATATATAGTTATATATATAATTTCATATATAAATTATATCATCTTATATATAAATATGTGTAATTATATATGACAATCTATATATAATTTTATATCTTTATGTATAATAATATGCGAACATATTTTATATATAATTATAAATTATATATAATTATAAGTTGTACATTTATTTCTGAGCATTTATAATGCCGTATACAAAGCAAAGTCAACTGTGTCGCAATGCATCAAAAACAATTTATTTATACTTTACTTCTATAAATAAATTTTATTTTCGTTTCGCATGAAACAGATGTTCATCTCATGTGATCATCATGCGCACTATAATTGGCTCATCTGATCGTATTGTGCACTATGCAGACTATAAAAATGTCTGTAATATTTGAAAACGGACAGTTCATTTCATGAGTTCATAGTGTAAAGAAGTGTGTTATACACTATAATTTTGTGAAATTATGTAAGTATTTATTGTATTGTATTATTGTCTTACGCTTGTCACTCTTCATATTTATATTATTTAAATTATTATACACTTTGTGGAGTTATTAATATTATAATATACGGAAGACCGGAGCAGCATTAAACAATAGTTAAATTTTAATATTTTGTAGAATGATTCCATTTAACCCATGGAATGTTATACTGTTGCTATACGCAACATTTACTGCTCGTAACCTTCTACAAACTCCGGTAACTTCGGAAGAAATGAAAATGAAGGAGAAGATTGTAAATATGCTCACAGACATGGAAAATAACATGAACATTCTAATAAAAGAGGAGAAAACACTTGATTTCTATGATACAAATGAGATCCCACAGGCGGAAAGAGTTGATTTGTTGGAGCATGATGAAGATGAGGATTATCTTCCAGAAGAAGTTATTTGTACTGATGTTGAAGTAGAAATATCAAGTGACTATAAAAGGAAAGCTGTGGAATTATGGAAGAGCGGTAAAATAAGACCAAGAACGATCGAAGGAATTAGACGAAGGTACAAAAAAGTTACATCAATTCGACAATTACGACGATGGGAGGACTATATCAATGCAGGTGGTAGCAGAAATGAAAAATTAAAAGCAATTTCTTCAAAATGACATCAGATTATATGAAAACTTGGTTGAGAGAAATATTTTTTCCGAATGTCGGACCACAATCCGTATTATTATTAGATTCATGGAGTGGATATTATCCCGATGTAATTCAGCAAACTAGATCGGATTTTGCATCATATATTGTTTTCCTAACCATTCCGGCCGGGACAACGGGAAAAATACAACCATTAGATGTATATGGCTTTCGATTATGGAAAAATTTCATCAAACATTTTTCTGATATTGTAATGCTATTAGACCTTGCAATTGATCTTCATGTTAGAAACAATATTTTAAAATTGCAGTCATTAACGCACCATCAATTCTCGTCACCCAGGTTTCACAATTTATTTAAATATGCATGGTTTAAAAGTGGATATTTACAGAGTAGGCCAGGCGAATTCGAAACACCGGTTGAGTTTTGTTTCCAAAATGATTCTAAAATAAAATGCGATATTTGTGGTGAAACTGCCATAATTATTTGCTCTTGGTGCAAAAAATCACTTTGTGTTACACATTTTTTTCATGATCACCACCTTTGCAACGAATATGTGCCATAAATGTAACATTTATTTTTCGTTTATATGCAAATACTATGGTCTCACGATCGTGTTAATAATTTTCTATACGCTAACTTTTATGAAGTTGCATATGGAACATTATATGACAACATTCATGATTTTGAATTGTTAGTGTTATTGTTTTTGTCGAAATCATGAAGGTTGCCATGCAGAGCTTCGTGCACAACTTCATAAGTTAACATATTGTATAGAAAATCATTAACACAATCGAGCATCGTGAGACTAATATAATATCATTACGATTAATTATAGCATAAGAAAATATGCACAAACAGTCGTGAAGCATAGTGCAATTACAGAGAAATATCATAGCGTACCTACCTACAGTATCTATCTACTCGGGCAGCGCGGCACATATACCATGAAGTTTTCTCATTGCGTTTTGTCCAAAATATTAAATACCATTTTCTAATATTATATATGAATGGATTTGGTATTTAGTGCTCTACAATTTTTGTCCTTACAAAAACTTAAAAATTTTTCCAGAGTAACGAGAGGGGGGGGGAGTAGTTCAACATTTGAAATTTTAAAAAACTGAACACATGGTTGCAAAGAGCATAAAATATTGCAAAACTTTTGTCTGAAACTTTTTTTTCATATGACTCGTAATTTAGAACATATCCGAAACCTATTCAAATCGGTGAGGGACAGTTGTGACACTCTCCTTATAAGAAAAATGAGGGCCGCGAGACTCAACGCGGTGTCCACGTAAGTCGGAGTCCCGGCTTATCGGTCCTCCACGAAGACTAATTATCAGCTACTTAATTGTTCACCGGGCAATTATCATCAGCCTTGTATCAGCTTGTATCACTAGGTACAAGTAACAATGCCTCTCTCTGTAGTCGCCGTGCGCTCGGGATAGCACTAGAGATGTCACTTCCGAACGACATATCTCAACGTTATCTAGGGAGAGGAGAGTGTGGTGAGCGTGGAGCGTCAGATAGCTCAGTGGTCTAGAGTTCTAGAGCAGTCACCCGGCAAGCGAAAGACCTAGGTTCGATGCCCGGTCTAGCGACTACCGCGCTCTCGATACCTTTCTCTCTTCGGAACGAAAAATGAGATGCAGGTCCCGAACGCACGGCGTCCCGTCGCCACCTAGTACGCCCTCCTTCCTACATGCCAGAGAGTGAGAATGCATTGTCAGGTTTTGGCGCAGAGCGCTGTGAATGCCGGAAGTAACTATAATCTGTCTGAGTTTGGTGGTATGCATACCATTTTCGGGGAGAACGAAAGTGTTCCGGGACGCTATTGCTGTTAAACCAATTTTTTTCTATTTTCCCACGTGCCAGAGAGTGAGAATGCATTGTCAGTTTTTGGCACAGAGCGTTATGAGTGCCGGAAGTAATTAAAATCTGTCTGTGTTTGGTGGCATGCACACCATTTTCGGGCAAAATGAAAGTGTTCCGGGACGATATTGCTATCAAACTAATTTTTTTCCATTTTCCCACATGCCAGAGAGTGAAAATGCAGTGTCTGTTTTTGGCATAGAGCGCTGTGAGTGCCGGAAATAATTACAATCTGTCTGAGTGGTGGTATGCACACAATTTTCGGGGAGAACGAAAGTGTTTCGGGACGATATTACTGTTAAACTAATTTTTTTCTATTTTCCCACATGCCAGAGAGTGAAAATGCATTGTCAGTTTTTGGCACAGAGCGCTGTGAATGCCGGAAGTAACTATAATCTATCTGAGTTTGGTGGTATGCACACCATTTTAGGGGAGAACGAAAGTGTTCTGGGACGATATTGCTGTTAAACTAATTTTTTTCCATTTTCCCACATGCCAGAGAGTGAAAATGCATTGTCAGTTTTTGGCACAGAGCGTTATGAGTGCCGGAAATAATTACAATCTGTCTGAGTGTGGTGGTATGCACACCATTTTAGGGGAGAACGGAAGTGTTCCGGGACGATATTGCTGTTAAACTAATTTTTTCTATTTTCCCACATGCCAGAGAGTGAAAATGCATTGTCAGTTTTTGGTACAGAGCGCTGTGAGTGCCGAAAATAATTATAATCTGTATGAATGATTATATGTGCGTAATTTTCGGGAAGAACAACTTTGTTATAATGTCATGTCATATTTAACACAAATTTATCTTTTATATGTATTTACATTTATATTAAGTGTTTTTTTTTTAATAATGGCTATTTTCAATTTTCGCTCCAAGAACGTTCTAAATTTCAACGACGTCCAGAAGTGGCGATTTCGATACTGAGGACAAGGAGTGCTCCGGAAGACCAAAAACAAGCCGGAGGACACCGATCTACAAGCGTTATTGATTGAGGATGATACGCAAACAGAAGATCAACTTGCGGAGGCATTAAACATGACTCACCAAGGTATTTCCAAACGTTTACATGCCATGGGAAAAATTCAAAAGGAAGAAAAATGGGTGCCGCATGAGTTGACTAACTGAGAGACAGATGGAAAATCGAAGAGCCACTTCCGAAATTTTGCTTTTGCGGCATGAAAGAAAGAATTTCCTGCATCGAATTGTTACTGGCGATGAGAAGTGGATATATTTCAAGAATCCCAAACGCAAAACATCGTGGCTTTCACCTGACGAAGCATCAACATCGATGGCACGGCCAAATCGCTTCGGAAAGAAGACAATGCTCTGCGTTTGGTGGGACCAGAAAGGAATCGTGTACTATGACCAGCTAAAAAGAAACCGGGCGAAACTGTCAATGGGCATCGCTATCGACAACAACTGATCAATTTGAACCATGCATTGCTCGAAAAACGGCCAGAATGGAACACGAGACACGAACGTGTGATATTGCAGCACGACAACGCTCCGTGCCATCGCACTTCCATCGTCCAGGACACCATCAAAACGCTGAAATGGGATCTATTACCGCACCCGCCGTATTCGCCAGACCTGGCCCCTTCCAATTATCACTTGTTCCAGTCGATGGCATATGGCTTGGCTGGGCAACACTTGACCAATTTCGAAAAAGTGCAAAATTGGTTGAATGAATGGTTTCGGTCCAAAGGCGCGTCGTTTTATTGTCGCGGTATTCATGTATTACCTGAGAGATGGCAAAAATGTGTAGCTAGCGAGGGACGATACTTTGAACAAACCATTTTTTGTATTTCTCTTGAAATTTTTCATTTTTCATTGATCAAAAAAACCCGGAAACTTAGTTGCTCCCCTAGTATATGCCCTAAGATTCTTTTTGTGGCGTATGACGTGCGTGCGTGCGTGCGTACGTGTGTGTGTGTGCGTGCGCGATTGTATGTGTCTACCTTAATAAAATATTTTTATATATTATATATAATAATATATCCGCCTTTTCCGCCTCTTCCGCCTCTACCACCTCTGCCAACCCTATCGCCTTTGTTAGTTCCTCTGTTTCCTCTTCCTCGTCCCCTCTCCGCTAGCTGTAGCAGCATCGAGAGTTGTGCCTGAAAAAATATATATATGCACACATATAAACAGAGAATCCGGTAAGTCGTCAAGCAGCAGTCACGTACAAATAGATTTTGTAAAACTGAAGTGATATATTATAGCTAAAATCACGAAATATAAAAAGTGTTACGTCCTGGACGAGGAGCGTAACTTTCCGTTCGCGAGTAAGGCGAACCTCGTTCGTAACCGCGTGCCAGTGAACGGGTCAGGGACCCGACGGGTCCCTTTACTTGGACACCGACATACGACCGACGAGCGGTCCGTTTTTCGGGACGCGGTCAGGGACGCGAATCCCTTTACCGGGAATAGGACCATGAGTTGACTGTTGGAAGGTGGGGTGATTTTGAAATAAATTCGTGAAAATAACTATTAACAGGTTTATTAAAATAAAGATGACAAAGTGATATAGCGGCATGGTTTGAATTAACAAATTTACTAGTAATAGGATAACGGCGCGGTTTGAATTTTTACAGATTTATTAAGATAAGTAACAACCAAAAACGATGTAACTGAGCGGTTTGAAATATGACAATTTATATTTGGGTGAATGAGAATGTGTGTGTGTGTGTGTGTGTGTGTGTGTGTGGGTGTGGGTGTGGGTGTGTGTGTGGGTGTATGCGTGTGTGCGTGTGTGCGTGCGTGCGTGCGTGCGTGCGTGCGTGCGTGCGTGCGTGCGTGCGTGCGTGCGTGCGTGTGTGCCTGTGTGCGTGTGTGCCTGTGCATGCGTGCGTGCGTGTGTGCCTGTGTGCGTATGTGCGTGTATGTGCGTGCGTGCGTGTGTACCTGTGTGCGTGTGTGCGTGTGTGTGCGTGCGTGCGTGTGTACCTGTGTGCGTGTGTGTGCGTGCGTGTGTGTGCGTGCGTGTGTGTGCGTGCGTGTGTGTGTGTGTGTGTGTGTGTGTGTGTGTGTGTGCGTGTGTGCGCGTGTGTGCGCCGGTGTGCGTGTGTGCGCGCGCGTGTGTGTGTGTGCGTGCGTGTGTGTGTGTGTGCGTGTGTGCGCGTGTGTGCGCGTGTGTGCGTGTGCGCGCGCGCGCGCGCGCGTGTGTGTGTGTGTGTGT